GTGTTGATGAACTTGAATAAGATGTTGGAGAAGAAAGTGAAGGTTGATCTTTCAACTCCGTTTGATCGGAATCATCACGAACATTCGTTTCTTCTTTTAGATTTTCTTCCCACATTCCATCTTCATCGAACTTGACATCTCTACTTACATATACTTTCAAAGTGTTAGGGTCAAATAATCGATAGGCTTTGGATGATGAGTCATACCCGATAAAGATGAGCTTTTTGCTCTTGTCTTCAAGTTTCGATCTTTTTTGATCCGGGACATGAGCATATGCAATGCTCCCAAAAATTCTCAAGTGCGAAACACTTGGTGTTCTCCCGGTCAATGCCTCTTGTGGAGTTACGCCTTCAAGTCCATATGTTGGACATCTATTTTGAAGATAGACGGCACATGAAACAGCTTCTGCCCAAAGTTCCTTGGACAAATTTTTGCTCTTCAACATGCTTTGAACCATATCAAGAATGGTTCTATTTTTCCGTTCAGCCACACCGTTTTGTTGAGAAGAATACGGGGCCGTCAAGAAACGCCGAATACCATGATTTTCACAGAATTTGTTGAATATGGCTGAGGTGAATTCTCCACCACGATCAGTCCTCAAAGCCTTGATAAAATAGCCGCTTTCCTTTTCAGCCAGGTTCTTGATTTGTTTGAAAATATCAAACACTTCTGTCTTTTCTTTCAAAAAATATACCCAAGTTTTCCTAGTAAAATCATCAATAAAAGTAACAAAATATCGATGATTACCATATGAGTGAGGATTGATTGGGCCACACAAATCAGAATGAATCAACTCAAGCGGCTTCTTCGCTCGATAAGTCACCTCCTTCGGAAAGCTTGTTCTGGAATGCTTGTCGATAACACATCCTTCACATAATTGATCGGGATGATCAATATGTGGTAAGCCATAAACCATCTTCTTGCGAGAAAGCAAATTGAGTCCGCCAAAATTGAGATGGCCAAACCTCAAATGCCACAACCATGAAGGATCATCTACGCACGTCTTTAGACATCGAGACATCTCACTCTTTATATTAAGAATAAACATCCTGTTCTTCGACATCTTCACCTTTGCAATTAATTTATTATTCCGATCTCTCAACATAAGATTAAGATCTCTCATATGAACAGTATAACCGTTCTCCAGAAGTTGTCCCAAACTCAAGATATTGCTTGACATTTTTGGAACATAATAAACATTAATAATAAACTGACGTGCACCATTCTTTAAGCGAATCAAAATTGTACCTTTCCCTTCAACAAGAATTTTAGAGTTATCACCGAATGAGACATTCCCTTTAATTGTCTCATCTAACTCGGCAAACATCTCCTTTCTCCCACACATGTGATTACTTGCGCCGGTATCCAAATACCACGTATCGCTTTGACTTTCTTCATCTTCTTTGAATGCCAATAAGAGAACTTGATCATCATTATTTACCAAGTTCGCCTTTTCGTCTGGTCTGCTGCTTTCTTTATTCCAGCAGTTAAAAGCATAATGGCCAAGTTTATTGCAATGATAACATCGGTTTTAGATTTATCATACCATTGGCTTGTCGAGTTCTTTCCTCTTCCACGAACACCTCTTTGGTACTGGTATCCTCCATCACTTCGAGCAGGATCTCCTCTGCTTCGTCCGCGACCTCTTCCTCGAAAGTGACCTCGGCCACGACCTCGATCACGATCTTGATTTATCCCGCGATTTTGTATGAGATCTCTTCTTTGCTCCTTTTCATCTCGTATGGTCAACTGCGTTTGGAGAACTTCCTCCACCGGTTCAATCTTTTTCTTTCTAAACCTTTCTTCATGGGTTTGTAATGAACCCATAAGTTCATCGACCGTCATGGCATCCAAGTCTTTGGATTCTTCGATTGCAATCGCAATATAATCATACTTCTTGTCTAAGGACCAAAGTATTTTCTCAACAACACGAACATCGGAAACTTCTTCTCCGTTTCTTTTCATCTGATTAACAATTGCCAAAATTCTCATGAAATAATCAGCAATCGATTCAGATTCTTTCATACGAATTACCTCGAATTCGCCTCTCAAGGTTTGAAGGCGAATCTTCTGAACTTTCTGAACTCCTTGGTGTGTGTTTTGAAGAATCTCCCATGCCTCTTTAGCGGTAGTGGCGTTCGAAACTTTTTCGAACATGGAATCATCTAACGCTTGATAGATGATCGACAGGGCATATTGATCTTTCGTTCGAGCCTTCTCCAAGGCATTCCTCTGATTCCTGGTTCAACGTGGCTTCATCCTCTGGCTCATCATAGCCAGTGTTAACAAATTCCCACACACCGTAGGCGCCGAGTAGAGCTTTCATTCTAACAGCCCAGTTACCATAATTTTCTTTGGTAAGACGAGGGTATTGAAGAGGAAGCTGATTGTTCGTTGAGGCCATGATCACGAACCATAAGCTTTGATACCAATTTGTTGAGCGTCAGAGGCGCGGCAACAATATTGATTTGATGAAAGGAATTTTTGAAGGTGAAACAATCGCAATTCGCGTCTTTCTATTGCATGTCTCAATTACAAGAGAAATAGACTATATATAGACCATAGTTTGATTCGAAATATGAAACCTCTTTCTAGGAAACCTATTCTAATTAGGAAATCTAATTGACTTAGGAAACTTTCCTAAAATATAACTAGAAACAATATCTCACAATATCTATCAAAATATGGAAATACGAACAGACTCAAAAAGGAAACAAGTACTGACAAATTTGATTTAATTTCTAACAAAAGGCTCCTCACCTGAGCTGAGCTGAGACATCGGAAGGATTGGATATATTTTCTTCTCACCTTCTCGACATTCCATGCGTGGAACGGTATATGTCACTTGTTGATGCTTATCACACCTTTAATGTGGAGATCTTTGGCTTATGTTGGATGGTGACACTTTCAGACCGTCCGTCGAACTTTCTCTGTTCTATCCACTCTCCCTCTCTCTCTCTCTCTCTTCCCCCCTCTCATTACGCACGCGCGAGGAGACACATGGTCATTTTTCTGAGTGGGCTAACATTGTTTTCTGAAACTGCATCTGGATCTCTTTTTCTCCAAGCTTGACGTGCATAGTTTTACTTATGTTCTTGTTGGTAGAGTCGATGCGGATGATTACTGTTCCACATCTCGAAAGCGCGGAGAGAGAGAGAGAGAGAGACAGAGAGAAGCATCATCTTGGGTTCGTTTCTTCTTTGTTTCGCCGTCGGCAAATACGAAATTGTACATGTAAACAGCCGATATTTTCTGGCACCGTGGACGGCAGGTGGATAAGAATGAAATACTCGGGTGAGCATCTTTACAGTCGGGCCCATCCTTCCCCTTTGCCGCATTCACAATATGGTACAGTTGAGATTCATAGCACCTCTCGTTAACCTTCATTAAGCGCTGTCGTTCAAATAGTCAACCCTCGGTTGGATATCTTGATGATAATCTTTTGTTTTTGGCATCTTGTTGAAAATGAGATGGGCTAATGATTCTTTTCATGAATCAATATAAAGTGTACTTCTTATTCTTTACCATGTGAAATTTATGATTGGACATCAAAGTACTCCGTTCATACATGTGTCATGGGCCCGCAGTTCTTTAAACGCGAAATTGCCCGTGTGGAGCCTGGTGGATCGTTCACACCAGGTCGGCCATCATTCTACAGTTGTTCCAAAGAACACTACCACGAATAGCTTCCTCGTATTAGATTGTATCACGCCCAGCTAAGCTCGGGCATTTAGTCCATTGAGCGATACAAGCAGAATACTTTAGGCACCACAACTCGTTTTGACCTACCATGGCCTCATCAGGATCCGCGACCTAATTGTATTCATCTTTTTTGCATCACTCACTTTTCACCCGATAATCCCAAGCTCCACTCACAAGAATACGAGAGTACGAGAGAATCACCGCTCGTGACACCTGGTTACAATGTAACGGCAACACATGGCGTGATAAGCCGATTGAAAAACAAATTGTTCCAAAATTTAAGGGCCTAGGTAATTACTCGATTGCATTACATCAATCGTGTGAATCAAAAACAATTTGTTCATGGACTAGAACAGCCCCGAGATGGCCCTCCAATTACTCATCTACTTTATGCGGATGGCATTATTTTGTTCACCCGAGTTAGGGAAACGGATAGGAAGGCCACGAGAGAATGCATGCACGATTTCTGTAGACTCTGGGACCGACGCAGTCAACTTCCAGAAACCTGGACTTTTGCTTTTCGAAAAATTGTTGAGGAACTCACGGGGACGAATGTGTCTCGACTACTACTAGGTCTTAGCGAAATGGAAGGGAAGATCATGTATCTAGGACAGCCGCGGCCATTGCTTCTCTCTTATCCCCGCCCCCACCATGCGCGACTTCGACTTTGGAACGGAGAGAGCGCGGTCGGCGGTGCGCGGTTGGGAAAGTGATCCGCATGAGGTGCTAAAAACAGAAATGCACTGCGGTCATTGCTCCGGCGAAGAAGAAATAGCCATCCCTTTCCTTGAAAACTGCCCGGCGGCACGGATACCTTGGTTGGGGCTCAAATGGTCAAACGGTTAGCGCGCAAGAGTCTATGCAATCTATTGCTATCTAGGGAAAATCTTAAAAGGGACCAAAGAGGGTCGATCAGTTTTCTGGGTGCTCAAAGAAAATGCTCGAAATCATGAAGAAATTCTTGTATACATGAAGTATGTGAGCTTACTTCATTGTCATCAGACAATGTTACGAGACTCACGTAGGATTTACATGATTTAATGACTGAGATGGAGTGGCCTCACGTCTGCATATATCGGCCACTTGCAAGACTTGCTCCGAAGTGGAAGTAGATTGCGGCGCCGCAGCGGTTAAAAGGAAAGGCACGTGTCGCTTCCCAGCCGTACAGCTGGGTCTTTCTCGAATGGTTTCAGATAAAGCCAAAGGAAAAGAAACACGCTTCAAAGACAATTTCTAATACACGTTTTTTGGCCAACCTTCGCCCCCACCCCCGCTCATCGTTATATTCTTTCCCCTTTAGATTACACGTTAAGCTTCGGCTTGTCCAGAGTATATATAAACCCACCATCAACACTCCTGCATTTCATCCCCACATCTTCATAGAAACCATAACCCACCAAACCATCTTGCAATCTTGGCCTCTCCATTCTCCGTAAGCCCTAAGTAAGCCATGCAATCGACTCCCTTCTTGCCCTCAACGCTCCCTTGCAACCCTGCCTTCCCTCGTTCCGCAAATCGAACGAAGAAAGCGGCTACCAAGAGATCTGACGCAAGAGTTTTCGCGTCGAGGAGGGAAGAGTACGATGGTATGGACCAGTACTCCGGCGGCCACCACGTGGACCGAGACATGGTCGTGCTCCGGAAACGGATCCATGAGATGAGGATGGCGGAGCGGGGCCGCGAGCCGCCTCCCGAGTGGATGGACTGGGAGAAGCGTTGCTACACGAGCTATGACTCGATTATATGCAAGACTGTGGGGTTTCTGCAGTCTCAGATGATGAACGCTAGACCCAGCGTTGTTCTCGGAGTGGCGACTTTGGTGGTGTTCAGTGTACCTACATCTTCAGCATTGGCCTTGTTCCGCCTGGCCGAGGTGACCAGAGACATCTTGGCAACGTTTCATCTCAGAGCCTAGAAAACCTAGTCGGTACTTGCCTTTCTTTCTTTGTTCGTAAACATATTCGCCACGCATGACTAATAACTTATGTGCAACGTTCAGTTTAAGATGTTTCCGATAAATGTTACAGTTCTGCTTTTCAGGAAATCCTCATCTCCATGAAAATCCCTAAGTCAAAAGCCAGTAAATTGGTTAAGCACGACCATATGCAAGCGTTTACATCGTTAAGCATGCTTAAGATTCACAAAGCCACATGCTTAACGGTTCTAATCAATGTATTGTTAAGCCTTAAGGGGCATATGGTGCGGCAAATGACTCGTGTCATAATTCCTTGATTTGTTGCAGAAGTACGGGTTTAACTCATAATTAGCGTTGCTTTGCTAAGACCACGCCAATCGAATTTAAACTCCGAATCTCGCGCCTCATCAGATGTGCAATCGAGCTTCCCCGGAATGATGAACTGAGAATAGAATGACCTAGAATTTTACGTGATTCGGCTCGGTCTTAGACCTGTGTACATCCACAACAACAGAAGAAGAGAGCTGAAACTGATAATACAAAATTGCTAACAGAAGCATTGGAAGAAGACTCTCAAACCTTGATCATCAAACACGCTCGATAAGCTCGTAATCTCAATTTGACTACATAATGGAAAAGAAATCATAATTAAAATTCTCATGAGGAGTTTTCATCATAATTGACTACTCTCGAACCTCGATCATTCAACTGAATTTGCAAAGTTGTAGCAAAGGATAATATGCCTCTTGCAATTAGTCAATCGATCAACTAACGTTTGCTAGATACACGGGTTCGATGTTTAGAGACATTTGGACCTATTGATAAATAAAAGAAACTCTTCACTTATCAAAACATTATTTGCGAGACCATCTCAAATTCCAGCTGAAAACTTTCCAATTTAGATTGAAAGAAAATAGCAATGGGATCAGCCATGACTCCTTTACATTTTGATCGACATAAATTAAAAAATTGTATATGACTCAATTAACAAAATAAACATGACATCCGATACGAAAACTAAATAGGACATATGTAACATGAAGTGAAAAATTGCTCAAATATGACATTGTACGATATGCTTAAGTACTATTTAGGTAGATTTGGCACGTTTTCGAAACCATTCATTTAAGATGTTTGACAAAAATTTAATAGTAGCCCTAGCCTCTTCAGATTTCTTATCTTTCTTCCCCTTCCCTTCCATGTAGTGTGGTGTATGTAACGCAACATTATAATGTGATTTTCATGAACAAGTATGACTTTTAAACTCACTGCACTAGACGAAACCAATAGCCCCATCGTTCCCTTTTGCCATACGCACAGTACCTTACAGTTGAGATTCATAGCACCTCTCATTAACCTTCATTAAGCGCCATCGTACAAATAGTCAATCCTCACTTAAATATCTTGATGTTGATTTTTTGTTTTGATGTTGTGTTGAAAATGAGACGGGTTAATGATTCTTTTTGTGAATCGATATAAAGTATGCTTCTTACTCTGTACCATGTGAAATTTATGATTAGCTATCAAAGTACTTTGTTCATGCAGTGGTTACAATGTAACGACGGCACATGGTGTGATAAGCCGATTAAAAACGAGTTATTCCAAAATTTAAGAGTCTAGATAATGTAATTACTCGATCGCATTACATTGATCGTGTAAATCGAAAACAATTTCATCAACTAGAACCGTCCAGAGATGGCCCTCCAATTACTTGTCTACTCTATGCGGATGACATTATTATTTTCACCCGAGTTAAGGAAACGGATATGAAGGCCACCGAGAGAGTGCATGCACGATTTCTGTATACTCTGGGGCCGACGCATCAACTTCCAGAAACCTGGACTTTTGCTTTTCGAAAAATTGTCGAGGAACTCACGAGGACGAATGTGTCTCGACTGCTACTAGGTCTTAGCGAAATGGAAGGGGAAGATCGTGTGTCTAGGACAGCCGCAGACATTACTTTTCTCTTACCCCCGGAGTGCGCGACTTCGACTTTGAAACGGAAAGAGTGCGGTCGCCGCCGTCCGCTTGAAAAAGTGATCTGCATGAGGTGCTAAAAATAGAAATGTACTGTGCTCTTTGCCAAGGCGAAGAAGAAATAGCCATCCCTTTCCTTGAAAACTCCCCGCCAACACGGATACTGCGGAATCATCTTGGTTGGGGCTCAAATGGTCAATCGGTTGAAGCGCAAGAATCTCTTCAGCTTATACATGATCTTTTGCTAGGTTCTGGCTCGAGGCCACCTTCAATCTCAGCTGGTAGTTTGAGTGCATGAGGTGCAATCTTGTGCTGCAAACAAAGCGGATCGTAGAATAGCCCTATTGCTATCTAGGAAAATCCTAATAAGGGATCAAAAAGGTCGGATGAGTTTTTCGGGTACTCGAAGAAAATGCTATAAATCACAAAGGAATTCATGTATGCGTCCAAAGCATATGAACGAACTTCATTTGCATCGGTTAATATTACGAGATTCACGTAAAATTAACATAATTTATAGTCGAGATGGAGTGTGTTCACATCTACGTACATCGGGCACTTGCAAGACTTGCTCCAAAGTCGTAGTAGATCATGGCGCAGTGGCTCCTAAGAGGGAAAGCACGTGTCACTTTCCCAGCCCTACAACTGTGTCTTTCAGATAAAGCCAAAAGTAAAGAAACGCGCTTCAAAGACATTTCCTGCTACACGTTTTTCGGCCACCCCCTCTTCGTTCCATTCTTGCTTTCTCCTTAGATTGCACGTTAAGTTTCTGCTTATCCAGAGTACATATAAACACACCATCAACAATCCTCCATTTCATTCCCACATCTTCATAGAAACCATAACCCGCCAAACCATCTTGCAATCTTAGCCTCTCCATTCTCCGTAAACCCTAAGCCATGCAATCGACTCCCTTCTCGTCCTCAACGCTCCCTGGCAACCCCGTGTTCTCTCGTTCCGCAAATCAAATGAAGAAAGCGACTCCCAAGAGATCCGATGCGAGAGTTTTCGCGTCGAGAAGAGAAGAGGACAATCATCAGGACCAGGGGAAAAGTGTCTGAAAAAACCTAAATGTTTTGCATCGGTGCCAATTGAGTTCTCAACCTTTTTTTAGTGTCAATTGAGTCATAAACATTTTGAGATAGTGCCAATTCAGTCCTTTCGGCTAAATTTGATCGGATTTTACTGACGTGGACGCCGGCCGGTCTACGTGGCACGGTTGGCGCTGACGTGGATAATTTTAATAATTTTTTAATAATTTTTAATAATTTTTCTAATTTTTTTCGTTCTTTTTCTTTTTTTTCCTTTTCTCCCTCCTTACTCCAGCCGGTCGCCGGTCCGGCGACTGGCCAGAGGCCGGCCACCGGCCGAACCTGCGACCGACGAGGCTCGCCCTCGCCGGATGGCCGTGAGGGCAGCCTTGCCGGCCATGGGCGACGCTCGCCCTTGCTAGCAACTAGGCGAGGCCCGACCTCACTAGTGGCTGGGCGAGGCTCACCTTCGTCGTCGCTAGCGAGGGCGAGCCTCAACGGTGGCCGACCTCTGGTCTCTAGCCTCTGGTTGGTCGTCGGTCCAGCAACCGGCTAGAGTAAGGAGGGAGAAGAGGAAAAAAAAAAGAAAAAGAAAGAAAAAAGAAAATTAATCAAAAAAATTTTAAAAATAATAAAATATTAATAAAAATTATCCACGTTGGCGCCGGCCGGCATCCGCGTCAGCAAAATCCGATCAAAATTAGTCAGAAGGATTGAATTGGCACAAAGACAAAAGGTTTATGACTCAATTGTCACAAAAAAAAGTTTAGGACTCAATTGGCACAAATACAAAAGGTCTAGGACTTTTCTGACACTTTTCGCTTGAAAATCAATACTCCGGCGGCCATCTCGTGGACCGAGACATGTGTTCGATATTATGATCCATTTTCCATGTTCTCTAGAATTTTGAGATAAGTGCACTAGAAATCCTAAAACTTTTCATGAAAGTGCAATTGAGTCTTAAAACTTTCAAAAAATGCGATCAAGTCCTAAAACTTGTCACAAAAGTGCAATCAAGTCCTAATAGTTTCAAAAAGTGCAATCAAGTCCTAAAACTTATCAAGAAGGTGTAATCAAGTCTTAAAACTTTCAAAAAGTGCAATCAATGAAACGACTTGATTGAACAAATTTGACAAGTTTTAGGACTTGTTTGCATTTTTGAAAGTTTTAGGACTCAATTTAACTTTCGTAACAAGTTTTAGGACTTAATTACACATTATGAAAGTTTTATGATTCAATTGCACTTTCGTAACAAGTTTTAGGACTTTCAATGTACTTCTCCTCTAGAATTCTCAAGAAGTGGTCAACTAACATAATCATGAAGAAAGTCTTAGGCGGTGGACAGCTTGAACAAGTTGTCTGGAATTGTCGAGAATGGCGGTGGCGGAAGAAGAACATGAGCGTGGACAAGAAGAAGCCATGTTGAAGAAGCAAGCACAAGTTGAAAGTAATAAAATAATATATTAAGGATGTATTTGTTTCACAAAAAATATGTCAAAAACACTTTCTAGGAAGTCATTTTTCAGAAAAAATGAGTTCATTTTCCGGTGTTTGGTTAAAAACTAAAAAAAACTTGGGAAGTATTTTCAGTTGTTTGGTTAGGAAAATCTAATAGTGAAAATTATCAAAAAAATTTATATTTTCTAAATTCTTTTTTCTCTTTTTTATCTTTTTCCGTCTTCTTTTTATCTTTTTCCGTCTTCTTCCGCCCATCCGCCTCTCTACCTTACCCGCTGCTCCTTCCTCCTCTCCACCACCACCACCACTGCAGCAATCTCCGACGACCTCGCTCCCTCTACACCAACTCCGTCCACCTCAACCGCCTCGTCCTCGAGCTCGCAGGGATCTGGCGAGGCCTCGGGGGAGCTCGCCTCGCCAAATCTACCTCAAGCTCGAGCCGAAACCGGCGAGCTCGGGCTCGCTTGGATCTAGCAAAGCTGCGAGCTTGCCGGCCTCGACGAAGCTCGGGCTCGCCTTTAACGGCCGAGCCTCGAGCTCATCGAGCTGCGTCTTGGCCAGTTGCCGGGCTGCCGGCCATCGCCGAGGCGCACAGCCAACGGACGAAGGAGGAGGAAGGAAAAGAAAGCAAAGAGAAAAGAAAAAAAAGAAAAGAGAAGAAAAGATTAAAAATAACAAAAAATTCGATTTTTTTAAAAAATATTTTATAAGAATAATTTCATCAATCGATGACCCTCACATGGTCTTTGTCCCGCCTGAAGCTTGAGTGTCAGGGACCAAGCACGACTTTTGTGGACTTAAGTTCGGGTTCGGGAGCATTAGGTATGG